AGGGAGGGAGGGAAGAATGCATACTTTATGTTTCTTTGATTGCTTTTATTTTGGTTGTATACCAGCATCAAACAAATAACATAACAATCAGCCCAAAATAGAAGTAGGATATAATATTAACAAAACAAAATTAAAATTGATTAACAATCAAATTATATTGCAAATAACATTATTATATTATACTATATTTTATATTATATTATTATATATTACAAAATATAAAACCAGTGAAAAATCTATCAAATTACAATCAGTATTCTTAATGCTATAAGTAATCAAGGTAGACAACCATAGGTAAATACAGAAGAAATACTAGGATGTATAGGGCTATAACAATTTAAAATTATCCTTACTTGTAAAGAGCCTTATACTTGCTGTAATCCTACTAGAGTTTGATTCGAATTATTGCAGTTATAATCTAACAAACAAGAAGCAAGATCAAAAAAAATGTAAAGTAACTGAAATGGTGTTTGTGTATGTGTGTGTGTATATAATAAAAAGAAAGTATGTGTGTGTGTGTGTGTGTGTGTGTGTGTGTGTGTATATATATAATAAAAAGAGAGGAAGAAGAGATAATGAGTTATACTGAGTAATGGTAGCCTAGATGGTCCTCACAATCACCTGATTTGGAGGAATCATTTGCATTCAATCATAACCTGGGTACACAACTGAGCTACAATGTCTGAAATGGTTGCCTCCTGGCCAGCTAGCAAGAGACTAAGGCAATCAGCCTCCCTCCTGCCTGGCTATTGTGTTACAAATGGGGAAATATACATATCTTGGAGGTCTCTGGCAAATAGGCAGCTAAGGAACAAATGACCCAACATTTCAATCTCCGACTCACCATAAGGGCAGATTTGCTGCTCTTTCAGTATGTTGCAGAACATTCCCTACAAAAGGGCAGAAAGGAGGACTTTACGGTAGACAACTGTAAAGACTCCTCTACTGTTTTAGGGGCAATATTGTACATATAATGTGCATAATGTGTGGATGGTGGATGAATTCTCTAAACTATATATGTATATTATAATCACAGAAGGTGTCTTTTTCCAGCATATTGCACTACCTCCTTCACTCCCATTTACTGGGAGATTAACCAGTGGAAAACAGGAGTAGCAGTTACTAAAATATACTATAATAATGACAGCAGAGAATGTAAAAGGAAGATATCCAATAAAGCTTCTTTCATTCGAGAGTTAAAAAATATACTATGATGGATTGAGTTACATGAAGACAGAGTCAAATTTAATTTCCAGAAATAACTTCTAAGTGTAGAAGAAATTCACCAGTGAGAACCGATGAGGAGAACAGCAATGCCCTTTCTTTTACTGGATGTGTTCGAGTGGAGTCAGACCTGCCATCGGTTGGGACTGCAGGAATTTGAAATCCTGAGAAAATGCACTGAGGAGGGACTTGGTTTGATGGTCTAAATATCCATTTTGAACTATATGATTCTCTCCTCCCATGAAAGTATGTATGTCTGGCAAGAGGAGGACTCAGAATAACATCCTGCCTTGGTCCTCTCTTTGCAAAGGAGATAAAAACACCTTCACTCCCTCCCCTGTTTCTTTCAGAACCTTCTTCATGGAAGCATACATTGCTTCTCCTTTCATGTGCTGTAAAACCTTGCTTATGAATATCTGCCTGTAGAAGTGTAGTTGAGCCTCGATAGAAGCACCATGAAGAGGGGGTAGTCCTAGACCTAATAGAATGGGAGCATTTCAGCATCCTGAAATTTTGGGGAAGAAAGGATGTCTCACTTATATTATCAGTCCTTTCTCCTCCACTCATGGTTTGCATGAGAACATCTTCATCAGAGAATGCCTTGCAAAGTGGCCATGATGGTACTTTGAGTGATCAAAGAGCTGTGTCTCACTGTTGTTTTTTACCCCCAGAGGCTGGGACCATATGGAATCTAAGATTTCTAAAGTGGAATTGAACCTATTTAATCAAACAAAATGTAAATATTCCAATCAAAGCATCTAGAACAAAAGGCTGCCAAGCCACTGTTTCAGCACGACTTGCGGAGGGAGTGGACCACCTCTTTCCCTCTACTTATGGACTAATAATTATGACAGTTAATTTTTCTTTTAGAGTATAGATTCTTTTTTTAATCCTGCCTTTATTATTTTTATAAATAACTCAAGGCTGCAAACATACCTCATATTCCTTCCTCCTCCTATTTTCCCCACAACAAAAACCCTGTCAGGTGAGTTGTGCTGAGAGAGAGAGTGATTTGAGGTATAGAAGCATATTCTAAAGGATGTGGCTATAATTTTGTAGAATGCCTTTTGTAATTTTAATATCAGCATATGAATATGTTACTTGGGTAACTCATTAGTACATTTAACTTTTAGGCCAAATGTTAATGTCCTTAGAGAATTTTCATTAAGGTTAATGGACAGATATTGCAACTACAGGTATGGTGAAGTTTTCTGCATTTCTCTGCTTAAGATCTTACCTGCCACAGCTCTTGATTCTGTTGACTTCCTTCTTTCACTGTTGTTCTTTGCCTGGACTTAGATAAATACAGAGATTGCAAAGCATGTGCCACAGCATAGGCTGCATTGTAAATATTGTAGCTCTGGCCACTCATGCGTGTTTCAAACACAGAGGTAGGAAGGGTCTCAAGCCTCTCCTGTCCAGTACATTTTCTCTCCGACTTCTCCATTTCAGAGTTGGTGAAGAAACAACTGAATGCCTGTTCCCAGAAATCTTTCCTAAAACGATCATGCTGGTTGCTGGTTGAATTTAAGTTTTCAAGAAATTCCTGGAAGCCTTGGATCTCCTTTGTGTGAACTGCAAAGGATAAAGCACCTTGCAGGAAATGGATGTCCCAAAATTTATGAAAGGAAGTTGAGGTATAATCTGACTGAGCTGTTATAAGCCAGATTTTTGTCTTCTTTGGTACATCCTCCACTACTGACAGTTGGAGGAACATTCTCAGAAATGCTATGGATTGAATTCCACCATATAACATTATCACATTGGCTGTGCTATTCATGAGAACTTGATATATTTGGACTCCTTCACCTATTACTTCATTATAATCAATGTAAAAAGCTACATTTGGGAACTCTTGTATGAAATCAAAGCAGATGCCATGCTGGGAAAACATAGGGAGTACATCCTGTACAAATTTCTCTCCTTTGTCATCATTCACAGCAAGAAGGCCAATCCACACCCATCTAAAATACAGCAATAGCTGGAGGAGGCCCTTATGTTGGTGGGATTCATCTGGAAACATTTGTTGGAAGAAAACAGCTTGAGTCTCTTTATCCACAATTGGAGCAGAGCCATATGTCAACTAAATAATGCAAAAAGATATGAAATAGAGAAGGTCTAAGTGATCCTCTGTATTTGAGTCTGATTGTTCTTGAGCTTGTATATACTGAACTATTCTCCAACTAGTTATGCTTATTTCCAAATACCATCCCAAGTTTCTGTATTAGGTGTAAATTTTTTGTGGGTGTGTGGAAGAAGTCTCATTGTGCTAATTTTCTTTTCTAAAAAATGTAAAAATGACCATTCCAGAAAAGGAAAGATTAAACTTCAACCTTAATTCAGTGTCTGGATTGGAGAACATTTAGGTGTGCCAAACATATCCACTATCTGTTCAGACTTATTGTTACTCATGGTCCTGCACTAATCCAATCAAGCATAAATGAATGTCCAAGAATCCCAAAGCTCTTTTCTTTTTACCCCCTCCAATCTTTCCAGAGGATTCTGGAGACACTTTTAACCAATAGAGGTGAATATGTGTAGCTCAGGGTTGAACTGTGGAGTCCTTGGGGTTCTCT